AAACCTAACCCTAACTCTTAACCTAACCCTAAACCTAATCCTAACCCTTAACCTAACCCTAAAGCTAACCCTAAACCTAGCCCTTACCTTAAGTTGAATCAGCTTGCTTTCAAAGCGCTATTTAAAGCGCCCTTCTTTCTCCGCGGTCGCTGTTGTCACCCTGTTGATGATGTCAGTGACACGGTTTAATCGGGCGCGCTTTAGTGGACCTCGGTTTTGTCGTGCCACGCCAACAGACAGCCTTCAGGTTACTTATGGGCTACTCAGATTCAAAGTCCCAACTGCTACCATGCTCCGTGCAGCCACGTGATCTTATTTTGGGCGCTTTGGCAACTGGTTAGCATTTATGCCCATTTGCAGCATTCTGAAGTCATGTGGCCATGATTTGTGATAAGTTTTGCCAGAAACTCGGGTTTACTTCCAGTTTTCAGCAAAAAATAATAATAAATGCATTGCAAACAATGTATTTGCTTAACAGCAACTACGTTAAAATGGCTGCGATGATTTACTCAACGACTTCTTCAAAAGAAGGTAGTAAAATTGTACATGTTCATATGATGACCCAGGTAACACCAGCATGGGCTATTACAATTGTAATTTGGGGTTCAGTTATGATAATAAACCGAGGACCCATCTGTATTCTGAGGACTGAACACTTTACTATTTTTCTTGGTCTCACTATTTTGTTTTCTGTGAAATATATGAACCGTCGAAGCAGAAATCTCAGTTGGGAATATTTATATTTGGGGTTCAAATAACAATAGCGGTTACATTTATATACCGGTCATACTGCTTTACAGCATTCTCTGGGCGGTTTACAGATATTTACATATTGTCCCCAACAATCTGGCTCCTCATTTTATCGACCTCAGAAGGATGGAAGACTGAGTCAACCTTGAGCAGATCGGGATCGAACTCCAGGCTTTGGGCAGTGTTTGCCTGCAAATACCCCATTCTAAACCCAGTGTCACCACGGCTCCTTGGTAGTTGTTTAGTAAAATTGCCATGCTTCCAATTTTGCGAAACAAAATATTTACTAAAAATGTCAAGTTATATCCACGTGCTTTCAAAGGTTGTCTACTTTAAGCAAAATGGTGGCTGATAAAACACCATTTTGCACAGGAAGAATTGCTGCTTCCATGATCTTTACCTTAACAATACCAGCTTCCTGTTTGATATTGCAGAGAGAACTTTGCTCTCAAAGCAGATTTTTTTTTCCCCTTGAAACCCTGAGGGTTCTCGACTTCCTGTTAATCCATAACAGCGTGATTATAAAAAACAAAGTACGTGAGACAAGTTGAAGGAGGTTATGGAATTCTGACATCTCTTAAGTTCTAAATTATGCTATTAAACCAGGGAAAATGTACATATGCCAGTTCTACATCTTTTCTGCCCATTGAGTATTTTTTATTTCTTTATAATATGTGGATCTTTCATTCTCCAAGCTTTCTAAACTTTCAAAAGCAGGTTTGGATCAATAAGAAGTAGTAGCTCCCTCTCCCCCCCCCAAAAAAGAGTGGGTCGATGGGGAGAAAGTAGAACAAACCAGAAAAGTGTTCATATAAATATTGTTGTTGTTAGTTGCGAAGCCATGTCCGAAACATTTATTCCAGGCCTTCCTGTCCTCTACCATCCTCTGGAGTCCATTTAAACTCAGGCCTGCTGCTTCAGTGACTCCATCCAGCCACCTCATTTTCTGTTGTCCCCTTCTTCTTTTGGCCTGAATCTTTCCCAGCATTCGGCTCTTTTCCAGTGAGTCCTTCCTTCTCATTACGTGG